AAAAAAACCCAAAAGGGATACAAAGGAAAGATCATTTTTTAAATATATACAAAATAGTTAGGATAAATATACAGCTACTTTTGCTTAATTCAATGAGAAGAAAGAGGTGTACTAATAGTGTTTGGACAGGATATCCTGTCTGCTTCTTGTACTATGGATGACCACTAAGAAGATAACAATGTACAATGTATTGAGTATCGAAACTGTCCTATTAATCAGCTTTGAAACTGTCTCATTCATATTTATTTCTCAATTAAAAATAAATTAAAAAAGTACACAAGATTTCCTGCTCTGGTCTCTTAAGACAGTTCTGAGAAAACAAACAGGATTGTTCTGTTCTGTCCCAAGAACTTGCTGCCAGATAAAACCTCCTCTTCTTTATTTTCCCTGATCTTTGTCCTGAGAGATCTATCATGAATCAAACAGCAATACAATACCTATTAATTATAATAAGAGTGCCACTTTATTAATATAATATAATCCCAGAGGCTTATCTCCTGATTTGTCTGATCATAAACCTATTAATTGTTTATTTGGCTGAAAATCAGCATTGGACATTCTCTGTAACCAAAAAAAAAAAAAATCTTAATTTGATAGATATTTTAAAGTTTATCTTTGCATTATGACATAATCCCTCAAATGAGCAAAAAAGTCCAGGTCTTTAATCTCAAAAGAAAACAATAAAGGCAGAGGTCACTGGTTAGGAGTCCAGCTGATTCTAGCATTTCACAATTTGTACCAACATCAGGGAAAAGGAGCTCTTCACGTCACTGTAAATTAATCAAATCCCAAATTTCCATATCAAACCTCCCTAAACACAAGTGGGTCTAAATGAACATCTTTTTATTTATGTCTTTTTGTTTTTAAATCAATTTCTCCAAGGCCAAAGTTCTGACCACCACAAATGTTAGGGCACAAAAGGCTGTTGTTCTGGGTATGACTAAGGACAATCATTCTGAAGTCAAGCAGATGGTAGAGAAAGAACTTTATTACCATAGATTACCAGCTGATAAAAGGTGACAGAGTGATTCTTGCCCTAGCATGTCCTTTTCGTGTGTGTTTCTGAGACGGGGTTTCACTATACATTTCTGGTTGGCCTTGAACTCACAGCAATCCTCCTGCTTCAGCCTCCCAGGGGCTGGGATCACAGGTCTGTGGTACCATGCCTGGCTTGGGGTCCTCTTTCTGGAGCTCCCATCTAGGGGCAGCTTTTATAAAGGGGAGGGGTGTTGGTGAGAGGGCAACTGGAGGTCTCTGTCCAAGTGACACATTTTGGGGGCCACATTCCTCAGATCTCAAAAACAAAGGTTATTTCCTCGGGCGTTGTCAAGCAAAGGTCTTCTGCCTCCTCCAGCTATTCTCTCACTAGTTCCTCATAGCTAGTCAGCAGCTAGTGAAAATCACACAGGACAGAGGGCGACCTGTCCCCAGGTCACCAAACTCCTGGTGTGGCAACAAGACTTCACCTGATGATGGTGCAAGACCAGGGTGTCAGAAGTTAAACAGGCAGCCGGCAGGCGACCTGGCGCCTTCACAGACCCAGTGCTGCGGGCCCACAGAAGAGGGCTGGTGACGGCGGCAGGGACTTACTTTTGCCACACTATTATCCATGGAAGAAGTTTCAAATGACGGTCCGCCAGTGTTCACCAGAAAGCACGGCGGGAGCTCCTCCTCTAAGGCGTATTTCGGTTTTTCCTGGCGAGATCACCTGTTTGCTCATCTTTCCAGGGCGAGAGGACCAGCTCCGTGTGAGGAGCGCACCCTGCGCCCGGCGGCATCTGTCCCCGACGAATGCGGCTTCCAGACTCGCCCGGCGCTGGGGGATCCAGAAAAGGCGAGGGGGCGGGGACAACACGTGACGTCACGAGGCTGCGGCCAATGGCAGCGTCCGGCGCCGCGGCCCAGCCTCTGGACTATAAAAAGGAGGCGCTGGCGCGTTCACCTGCCAGCTCCTGCCAGGTCTCTGAGCGTGACAGTTGCAAGCGGCTTCCTCCTCCAGGTGACTGGCTGCAGGTCGCTGCCCGCGACCCTGAGGCGCCCCTGGGTCTCTCCCGAGCGGAACCGCCGGTCCATGGAGCAGGGCCCGGGCCCAGCCCCGGCCGAGAAGCCGCAGGGCGCGCGGTGCAGCAACGGGTTCCCCGAGGCGCGGGGCGCGCCGGCCGCCGACGGCTGGAAGGGCGAGCGGCCGCGCAGCCTGGAGGACAACGCGCTGAGCCTGCCCGCGATGGCCGCCGCCTACGCGTCCATCCTGTGCGCGCTGGGCGAGGACCCGCAGCGCCAGGGGCTGCTCAAGACGCCCTGGCGCGCGGCCACGGCCATGCAGTTCTTCACCAAGGGCTACCAGGAGACCATCTCAGGTCGGCGCGGGGACACGCAGGGACGCGCGGGAGGTGGCCGCGGGCTAGCGCGGCGGCGGGACTTCCCGGAGTTGCCCCACGTTGGGCGGAGGTGGCCGGGCGCCGCTGTCACCGTCCCACCCGTCCTCGGCGCTGGCCCGCAGCCCGGACGTGGGGGGCGGCGACCTCTGCGCCCGGCCCTGCCCTCCTCTGCACCCGGTGGCGGAGCGGGGTCCCCGGGGCGCCCGGCCTGCGGTCCCCACCTGTAGGAGACCTGGGGGCGAAGCCCGAGTCGCGTGCTTCCGGCACCCACACCTGCACGCGGCTCCCTTGCCTGGGGACTGGCGCCTTCTGAGAGGTGTAGTTCTCTTTTATCCACCTGAAGTTTACCCCCAGCTCAGTACTTCTCCGAAATTTGATTGGCAGAGTTAAGGGCGCGGGCTTCCCTGGAGCCTGAGGTGTGCGGTATCTTGGGATACGTTGGAGCCAGGAGCCTTCCGTCTCCTCCCTTCCCTGTCCGTCAAAAGAAAGGCAGCGCCCCAGTCGCGCTCCGAGGCCCCCTTACCCGCAGCCCGCGGGGGAGGCGACAGGGGGAGTTTTAGGGCTCGGTGAAGGAGGAAGGACTGACACTTGGCCGCCTGTGGGACAGGCGATCGTGCTGCCCGTTTTATTCTTGGTCTTGGCGATCACACCCAGAGCCCAGCTCGGCACCTCTAACCTTCATCTCCAGCTCTGCTACGTATTAAAAGAACAAATGTGGGTCCTTGGGCTGGGGTTGCAGTCGTCGCCTACGAGTCCCTGCCTTCGGGGCGTCTTGGCGCCGAGGATTTCTCTGACTGGGGAGCTTTCTGCCTTCGCTAGTACCAAGGAAAGCAGTGCCAATGATTCGCAGGCGAGACGCCCTGCCATTTCTCTGAAAGCCGGGGAGCAACTCTGGGAACTGCTGGGAGGAGCGGAGGTGTTGTTTTTGCCCACTTCCACACCCCAAAGGAAGGGTGGGAGGGTGGGGCCAGAGAGGAAATGACGCTGGGAAAACCAAGAAGTTCTAGTTCTTTTTTTTTTTTTTTTTTAATTTCTCGATGGCACAACTTTGTACTCTCAAAAGCAGAGTTTCCGAATGCAGAGCTAGAAAATAATCACTTCGTTTTGTTCCTTTGAGACAGGGTTTCCCTGGTAGTTCAGGCTGGCCTTGAACTTTTGGCGACCCTCGGATTACAGGTGTGCACAACTGCACCAAGCAATCACATTTCTACATTCACTTCTTAGGAGGGTTGAGGGTTTTAGTGCTGCTCTTCCTGGGTTTGCTCCTCTGCTTCTTGTGGGCATCCAACGTGGACACCTTTCCACAGAGAGTGGCCTCTAACCTAGCAGGTACCCCGAGGAAGAGGAGATTCCTGTCTCAGATTAGTTACAGATTACTGTAAGTGGTCACAGGTGTGCTGAAGAAAAGGCATTGTGCTGTCTAGTGAGCTGAGGTTCAGCCGTGGAGGACAAAGCTTCATTCCCCGCTTGGAAGCTGTTCTGAGCACCTGCTAATACTATTTTAAAGTTCATCCCCCTAGAGACAGAAAGCAGGTTAGTGTTCTTCAGCTAGGAAAGAGGGGAGCCCAGAAGGGACTGCTGAGTAAATGTGGGGTTTCCCTCTACAGTGCTGAAACTGGTGACAGTTGCCAGGCACTGTGCATATCCAGTGAATTGGGCACTTTCAGTAGTTAAGGTGAAGAGCTTGATATTTTACCGCAGTGAAAAGTGCACGGACCTTGGAAGGTTATGAAGAGCTCTGAGTTGTACTTTGCGGAGGACTAAGCGCTTTACGCAGGTGGTCTTGTGTGCTCCTCAGCTGTGAAGTGAGTGCTCTTGCCTTATCCCCATGATGGGGAAACTGAGGCAGAGGTTCGCCAGCAAGAGCTGGGCAGCCTGATTGCTGCTGGACTCTTAGTTGCCTGTTCATGTTGCGACACTGGGAGATGCCTTATCTATCACGGATTTCAAACCGTGTTGGGGTCACCAGTGTTAAAAAAGAAGGAGCAGAGTGGATGCGATCAACTTACCTTGCACAATAAGATGGACAGTACAAATGTGTTGTTGGTTTGCTGTCCTACAGGTTAAACACAGGGAGACTGTCACTGAGCTACAGCCCCAGCACATTGTATCTTATTTATTTGGTTTTATGAGACAGGGTCTTGCTATGTAGTCCAGGCTGCAGGTGGTCACAGTTGTCTTTTTTTTTTTCATTTTATGTATTTTGTACAAGGTCTCACTACACAGCTTGGACTAGTAGTGATCCTCCTACTTTCTTTTTCTTTCTTTTTTTTTTGTATTTTAGGGAAGAGTCTACAGGATGTTCAGGGTCTCACTACTAGATCAGACTCATACTGATCTGCCTGTTTACAGCCTCCCAAGCGCTGGGATTACAGGCGCGTGCCACCATGCCCAGTCTCAATTGCCCTCCCCCCCAGCCCCGGGGTGAGGCTGGCATGGGAGGCCCAGGATCAAACCCCTGGCCCCTCTACCTGCTTGTAGGCGCTTTAATCCATTGAGCTATTTGGTTGGCCTGCTTGCTTGCCTGCTGTCTGTTTGTGTGTCTGTCTGTCTCTGTCTCTGTCTCTCTGTCTCTCTGTCTGTCTCTCTGTCTTTCTCCCCTCATTTTGTGTATTTGGAAGAGGGTTTCACTGCACAGATGGGACTTGTTTTTAGCCTCCCCAGCGCTGGGATTACAGGTGTGCACCACCATGACCAGACTCGGTTACGGGCTCAGCGCCAGCCCAGGGTGACTCTTTTTATTGGTATTGACTATACATTATGTAGTCCAGGCTGGCTTTGGACTTGAAGTGATCCTCCTGTCTCATTAGTGCTGGGATTGCAGGTGTGCTTCACTATGTCCAGCTTAATTTGTATTTTTCTAATGGCCAGCAACGTTCAGCATTTTTTTGTGTACTTATTGACCATTTGTGCTTTTTAAAAAAAGATTTCTTTAGTTCTTATTAGTCCATGTTTGCAGTGCATGATGATTACATTCATTATGGGGAGCTGGTGTGTAGGCAGAGCACATCTTAAAAGAGCTGAGAACTTTCTAGAAGGCGAGTCACCTTGGCCTGGATGTTAGAGTACCCTGGCCCTCTTTCAGGGAAGCAGAGGTTAACAAAGTTACCTGTGCATGTTCAAGGTTCACAGAGAGAAATGATTTAGTTCAAGTCAGGATTGCCATTTACACTCCTGAGATTAAAATATTCCTTTCTAAGTTATAGCTGGGGAGAGTGTGCTCTCTTTTTAAAAGGCCAACTTAGCAGGAGTGACCATTTGTATTTCTGAGAAGCATGTATTCATTTCAGTTATCCATTTTTGGGTCTTTTATTTTAGAGGGGGTCTAAATTTTGGGTGTTTATATATTCTAGGTAACAGTCCTCTGTCTGAGGAATTATCTTACCTTTTAAATTAAATTTTATGCTGTACAGGGAATCAACCCACAGGCCTTCACACTGAGCTACAGCTCCACCCCTTTTTTACTTTTTCTTTTTAAAAAATAATTTTATTGAGAAACAAATAGCAATGAAACAGTTTCAAAACCGATTAGTTAGATAGTTTCAATACTTAATACATTGCATATTGTTGTCTTAGTGGTTAATCATTGTACAAGATGCAGACATGATATCCTGTCTACAAACACTATTAGAACAAATCTTTTTATTCATTGAATTAAGAGAATGTAGCTCTATATTTATCCTAACTATTTTGAATATACACATACAAAATGGTTGTTCATTTGTATCCCTTTTTTTTGGTTTAGTTTTGTCAGAGGGGTATTCCATTGTCATTTAAATCTTATAGGTGCATGAATTCAGCAAAATATTCCAATATAGTCCAGTAGTGCATAATAGTAGTGGGCTTTCCCTAAGACTGGCAATGTCAGAAGTTGTTGACTTGAGCCTTTTACATCTCAGTATATTAATATAGCTTTACTTTTTATACTTTGTTTTTATACTTTTCTGCTGGATGGTTAAGACCAAGATAAAGTAAGACTATATAACAAGAATTGTAGCTTTTGTATCTGATAAGGTCAGTCAAATCCCCTCAGGATTTATCCTGAAACCCTGTACCGCAGTTTGTAGATCCTTTGTTAGTGTCAGCCATGTGGATGTCACGGTCATTGCTTGGCCAATGTGCTCTCTGTGAAAGCCTGAGAGAATGTTTTCTCTCCATGTGACTCTCCTTAGGCACATTCTACATCATTGATCACATTGCTCTGTGGCCCCATCATCTCCTTGATCAGAAAGTTTGGGACACATCTGAGTTACATGATGTTACAGTACAGGTTCTCCTATGTCCTGAGTCTTCACTGATCTTGAAAGGCTAGGGCCAAAATGTTAGCTGTTCTTGCAGCTCTTCTTTTTCTAATTTTTGGTCTGCAAACTTAGGTTGTTAACCCTCCAGAAAAGAAGCTTAATGTTATTACCCTACAACATAGGCAGTTAAGCTTAACCTCACTATCTGTTTGAATATCAAACATCTTAAGCATAACATGGAACAGGTATTTTCTGTCAAGTATTGATATGTTAACCTTTAAGTCCCTACAGAATATAAAAAATATTTTAAAAAATAGGAATAAACAGTAACATATTTTTACACAGAAATTTAGAAATCTAACCATATACAGCATTGTAGCAGGACAGTCCTGTGACATTTTTTTCTTGTCTCTTGTTTTCATTTATTACCCTTTTTCTTTTAAACAAACATTTACTGGAGAGACAGTATGACAGTAATTGGTATGTCATGACAAGTAGTACGTATTTAGAAGACCAGAATGACAAGCATTCCAAGTGTGACTCTTCTATTACACATTGCCATCTTCAGTGCAGTTGCTTAGTTCACAGGTATCAGCATATATCGTTAGTGAGGGTGAGAATCCTACCAATTAACTGCTAGTTTCAAAAACCTGCTGAAGATTCACAGGATCACTGCCTTACCCATCTTGTACATATAAATGTATGGCTTTGCCCCTGTAGTGTTTCCTAGCTTTTCTC